TTGGACCTGCAGAGAGGGAACAATCTAGTTTCCTGTGGAAAAGAGTTCCACAGACTAAGAGCAGCCACCAAGAAGGCCCTTTTATATGTCCTCCTCCAGATGGTCCTAAAACAGAGATCAGACCATTTATCAGTTGCTGCAGAAGGGTCTTATAACAGGGGTGGGTTATGCTTTTATCTTTTTTTGTTAGGTTTTTAAATGCTTCTAAGCTGTTTGAATTCTCTGCTTAGTTCAATATGACTGCTTATTTCACTGTTTTCTTAATTGGTCTCTAAGCTGCAAGTTTTCAGCTGTATTCACTTTTTAACTCACAGTGTAATCTGCCTTGGGTTAGGATATGAAAGAGGAAGGATATGCCATAAAGGGAAGGATATGCCATAGATAGAAAAACAGAAAAAGTGTCTGTAGTAGCAGGAAAGAACAAAAATCACTTACTTTCCCATCCAAACGGCATAGCTTTCGGGAAGTCTCGGGATGAACAAGATGGCGTTTCCGCTGTCAACCTCAACGGCTCCATAGCAGTCTGCTTCCGTTACTCCAAAAGTCCAGTGGAAGTAGGATTCCTGGGAACAAGGAATTAAGGAACAATTCAGTGTCATAATCCTATGCCCTTTTCAAAGTTTTATTTCATGAAAATAAAAGGAGAGCTATTCAAAAAGGCACCAAACTGAATTTAGGACAGTGCTAACATGGGGCAAAGTGGTCCAGAGGATTTCACACTGGACAGGGAAACTTTGGCCTTTCTGGTGCTTTTCCTTACTATTCTCATCAACCCCATTCAGTATGGCCAGTAAGCAACATGGGAGTTGTAGTGTTGGTACAGACACCAGGGACTGCCAAAAAGACAAACCAAGGGGTCTGAAAGCAAATCAGGTCTGAACTCTCCCTGGAATCCAAAAATGACTGAGCTTGAGGCTATCATACTTTGGACATATCATGACTTTGATGCGTGTGTGTGTGTGTGTGTGTGTTGTTTACCTTCAAGTCAGTTCAGACTTATGAAGACCCTAAGGCAAACCTATCACAGGGTTTTCTTAGCATATTTCTTCAGAGGGGTTTTGGCCTTTGCCATCCTCTTAGGCTGAGAGATAATGCTTTGTAAATGGAAGGCAGTAGGACATTGTCAATTATGCGAACTGAGTCCATCAAGAGAGCCACAACTTGGGAAGAGTAAAATACATTGTCTGTCTGGATAACACTTAATTAACCAAAGGACCACAGCGGAAAAATTCTTCCTTCAGACACTGCCTAAATCAAACCTCAATAATGAGGTGCCCAGAGAAAGCCCCCCTAGATTACAGAGTTCAGGGGAAAAGTCATTTTTACCTGTAGTGCTCAAAATGCAACTATTGCGTTAACTAGAGAAGCTGTTTCTCCAATTTTCTGGATTCTCCAATGGCTGATGGAAAGAGACATATAGTCTAACACAATGCTGTCTTAACATCACAAGAGTTATACTGGGGGTCCCTAGGATGAGAGAAAGGGATACTCTCTGTTTCAGAACCGAGTCCCAAGTGTACTCTAAAAACATTGGCTTCAATGGGTTATTACACAGAAGCTGCTGCTGAAGACCAAGGGCATATGCTCAAGGCAGACTGGTTTTTATGATCTGATAATGCCACAATTGTCTTCTTGATGGTCTGATGTATTTTTTTTTATATTCCTTACGAAATGCAGGCGCGCACCCAGTCTGAGAAAGTGTTTCCCAATTCACAGAGCGGGCAGAAAGCAGCCAGCAACTGATCAAAGAAGGGTCACATCTAAGCAAGCAATCTAGAATGCTCCTAAGAAACACAAAGAGCAGAGCCTTTTAAAAAAAGATAAGGCTGAAGTCTGTGCGTGCCGAAACCCACCTGACGGAAGATAATGCCTGTATCGGTGCAGTATCGGTTGGTTTGCTCCCCGCCTTGCAAGAGGACAATAGCTTGCTTTGGCACGTCCTTGTGGGCTCTCAGGCGATCGCACAGGCGAGTTCGGTTCAAGGCAAACAGGGCCGCCGGGACCCTCAGAGTTTCATTCCCCAGCCAAAAGGATGGCCTAGGAAGAGAGGAAGAAAATTAATCAGCATTTGTATGCGAAAGAGGGTTTATGCCCCAACCAAGGTTGGATGCACAGGTTTGCACGTCTTCTCACTTTGAACCACTTTTCCAGGCTGTGACAACAGGGAAGGTCCCAGAAAATTGGGGCGATCACTTCCATCCACAGCTTTGTCCTCATCCAAGCAGAGACTTTGTCTTCCAGGGTCACATTTTGGGTGCAGAATTCACCCAGCACTAGGTCTACATAACACCCATTTTATTAAGCAATGAGTTTTTTAAATGGTACTCACTGTCATCCACGTGCCATGTATAGTTTTTGCCTTTAAACAAGGGATGGGGATCACGAGACCTTCCAGATGTTTGCAGACTGCAGCTCCTAGCATGCATCACCATTGGCTAAGAAGGCTAGGTCTGTTAGGATTTGTAGTCCAACCACATCTGGAAAGCCACATGATTTTCCCCCTCCCCAGTTTAAAAATGGCTGGGATAAGCACTGGCCTAACAAATCAATTACATCTATATTACTTATAAACCTTTGGCCAATAAAGAGGGCTGGCACCAACTCAAATCAAGCTTTCTGCCTCATAGAGGCATATCAGATATGTTTAACATTAGAATGCACTGCCTCACAAGATGGTAGGCTCTCTTTCACTGGAAGTTTTTAAACCAAGGTTTGATGGCCATCTTTCACAAGTATGCTAGTCACATATTGCTATATCATAGATAGCCCTTGCAACTCTTATGACTGAATGAATGGATCTTTATTATGACCATAGACCAGCACAGGGTATGATTGTACAGTGGCCCCTCCACAATCATGGGACCCCCATGAATGTGGGAAAACCCACAAATAACTCCCACACACTATTCTTTTTACCTAAGAGAACACCTCTCTAGGTATCTCCAGGTCTTCCAGTGCAACTCTACGGTCAACATCTGCCAGAAGTTGATCATAAAGTCATGTTGGAGGACCTACACATGCCTAGAGAAGTGTTTTCTCTAGGAACTTCTAGGTTCTCCAGTACAACTCTATGGTCAACATCTGTCCAAAGTTGACCATAGAACCACACTGGAGGACCTACAAATGCCTAGAGAAGTGTTTTTTGTAGTATGCCATAAGTATTTTTTTTTTGTAGTTGTGTTTGTGTATTTTTTAAATAATAAAATTAATTTAAAAAAAAGTTGTGGAATGGGCCACATCAGAGAATGATGGATTTTGTTCCACTGGAGGTCTTTAAGCAGAGGCTACCTTTCAGGGGTGATTTAGCAGTGGATTCCTGCATGGCAGGGGACTATAGGGGATGGAGTGTATGGTCCCTTCGAAACCTATGACTCTATGAAGGTGGACTGGATTGCCCAAAAGACAGTGGACTCCCCAGAGGATGCTGGACTGTGTTTCGTTGGACGCCTTTAAACAGAGGTCAGATGGCTATCTTTCAGGGATGCTTTCGCAGCCGATTCCAGAACTGGCATGGGGTTGCTCTGGGAATCACTTCCACCTTTATGATTGATTGCATGTCCTTTCTGGCTCTGGATGTTTGAATCCTGTAGAATGAAAACCTTGATCCTGTGCCCAAAACCACTCCTAGGATCAGGGCATATTTTTTAAAACCCTGCAATACACTGCCATCCTCACTAGCATCAGAAAATATCACCCATTACAGCAATCCTTGCAAGGAGTTTTGAAAAATTTAACTCTGTGAGGGTTAAGGATGGGTCGGGGAACAAATTCAACATGCATAATCCCAATTACTGAGCCTTTTCCACTCCCACGTAGGACAGGGAAAGGGAATCCCATTAGTCAAGATGTTTGACTAATGCATCCAATTATCGGTGTGCAAAACTAGTAATGAAAGCACACACAGGTCCTGGGTTTCCTCTTACAAGGAGCAAAATGCAAGCACAAGATTGATCTCTTTCTCTTCCCCTTCCTCAAGTTAGAAAGAAAGAAATGCATACAGCTAAAACTGTGCACCTTTGGAAAATGCATATAAACACACTTTAGTTGATGGGTAAACTGCATAAAAGTTGCAAAGCTTGAAGGAAAATGTATTTTGAGATGTACATTAGGAAAAATACATACTGAAATGTGTGCCATGCAGGAC